ACTCTGTTTGAAGAGCAGGGACTGCCTTGTGTGTGTGTGTGTGTGTGTGTGTGTGTGTGTGTCTGTATTTTGCCACTGCATGCTTTAAACCTTTCCTCGTGGATGGCCTGTTTCTTCTTAGGTTTAAGCTGTGGCGAGAATCTCTTTATGTCAAGTCGCCCCACTTCATGGTCATATGCAATCCAAAGCTGGTATGATGAGTACCGTGATTTTGCCTATGGTGTAGGGCCGAAGACTCCCAATGCAGTAATTGGACATTATACTCAGGTAAGGGGAAGAGATGAAAATCCCAATGTCATAAGTGCCCTAAAAAGAAAGATTCTCCAAATTTTGACTGATTCCAATGTTGAATTTGAGATCTCAAATGGATATAAAACAATTTTGGCATTTGGTGGGTATTTCAGCTGTGAGCTGTCATTTTTCAATAGTCTGCAGGATCTTAGTAGGGAAACTGTATTTTTCTAATAGTCTAAATAGGTAAAGTAATGAACATACATGGAAATGTAGTATTTTAAAGTTTTTTTTAGCTTAATTCAATAATTTAACTTAATATATTCATAAGGCATATGAAACAAAGTATGCCAGTAACATTCTTTTGAGTTTTCTACTTTCTACTATTAGTTTCTTGGTATTTCCTTCTTTTCCCATGTTCTCCTGTACCTTCATTGATGTGTCTGCAGGTTGTTTGGTATTCATCTTTCCTCGTTGGATGTGGAATGGCCTACTGTCCTAACTCATCTTTAAAATACTTCTATGTTTGCCAATATTGTCCTGCGTAAGTATACACTTCAGAGTTTCCTTTAAATAATGCCAAACACAACATAATATTTTTAAATTATCGTATAAAAAAATCAAACTAAAAAGTATATTTAAGTAAAAGGGAGGGAGATAAACCTTTAGAAAGGCTTTCTAAAGTTGAGATATAGTCAACCAACTTCTCAGAAAGACCATCTTTTCATTTCTAAGTATAATATTCCGAAGCTTTCTTTCCTCATGCCTAAAATGATTTGTCTTTTCTCTCACTTGCTTTTCACTAGGCTCAGGGTTACTCCGTGAGTATATGTAATTTGTGGTTCTCTAGTTTGGTATTATCAGGTTACGCTAAATTTACACACTAGAAAGTGAAAGCTTGACAGTCAGGCAAAGGGTGAAGGTGAGGTGGCAAAAGAGAAGTGATATTTCAGTGATTTCAGCCTTTTCTGCTTAACCTGCTTATCTAAAAATGGCATATTATACCATTAAGAAATGATTGAATCTTGAGCCTCAAAGGTATTTCTGAGCATATTTCAAACAGTCAAGAAAGGATAGTATCTTAAATCTTTGCCTCTCAGAATTTACCACAAAACACTTTGAAAGAACCATCCATGAAGATCTTGATTTATAGGAGAAAACCCACTCCTTCCTTAAGTAATATATTTGAGCTATACAAAAAAATTCCCATAGATATATGTTAGTTTTAATTTCTTTTCAATATTTGAAATTATTCACCACTGAAGGGAGGGGTTCCCATCAATCCAAACTTCCTATGTGATTTATTTTAAGGTTGTAGATAACTCAGGTGATGTAAGGTTTCAGTTTGAGAAATATGACCTTTAAAGTCACTTTTTAGCAAGGATCTATTGGTGTTTATTAGAGAAAATTGAAAGGCCCTAGGAGAATACATCCAAATGCCTGACCCCTATCAGGGTGCATCTGGAGTCAGGCAACTGAAGTGAAGTTGTATTAAGTAATGAGAGAAAGCAGGGGAGAGAGAACTTCCAGAGCACTTTTACATCTATTTCACAATTTGTTCAAGTGCTCACACACTCATACAGCTGTTCTCAGTGTGAACTGTTTACCTGCATTGCCTTAAACCCTTGACCCACTTGGTGCAATTGAGACTTTGATTCCCTTGTATTTTAGGTTGTAATGACCAATAGGACAATAATCACCAATGGGACAGACTAGTCATTGTAAGACCAATATACTCAGGAGATTGGTGTTAATGAAGCCCTTATTTTTCCCTAACATTCCCATTTTTGATAAACATAAAAATCTCACACAGACACCACCTCTAGACATTCCCAAACCTTCCTAAGCATAACTCTTTTCACAAACAAATACCA